GGCCAGTGTTGGGCTAGCCCATGTTTACCAGTGTTTTGGCTGGGCTTGGGTTGGGCTATTGTTGGGCTGGCCCATTTTTACCAATGTTTTGGCTAGAGTCGGGTTGGACTGGCCTTGGGCCCGTTTTTAGCAGTGTTTTGGCTGGACTTGGGTCCGGCTAGCGTTGGGCTAGCTCATTTTTGGCAATGGGCTTGGGTTGGGCCAGCTCATTTTTAGCAATGTTTTGGTTGGGCTTCCATATCTTCCAGTCGCCGGCAACCCTGCGAGGGCGTCTATATCGGAGGTTGAAGCAAACCGAAAAACAATTTGAATTCAATGCCTTTTTGGGTGGCTAGTGTTGTGCCAGCCCATTTTTGCCAGGGGTCGCGTTAGGAGCAGCTTATAGCTGAGCTGCCACCTCATCTTTTGTGTGGGCAGGGTTGTGGATGGACGCAGCCCTCTGGTAGAGACAGTGTCGCTCCACGGTTGCGGACGGTTGCGGACGCTTGCGGACGCTTGCGGACGGTTGCGAACGCTGAGACCACGGGTCCTCTACCCCCAGACCCCCAGAGTCAAACGAGAAGCCTTCGCGACGCATTCGGAAAAAACAAACAACAACACAATGCTCCCAGTATGTTTGGTGCGCGCAACACTGTCAGTGGAATGATGCCCATGCGCCTTTCTGGCTGTCTTCTCTGACGAGCTTGTGGCTCATAAAACACCGAGTGTGAGAGAGTTGTAGTAGCAAGTGAGCAGGCTGTCGTCATGGCGGCGAAAGCGAAAGCCGTGGCCAAAGCAAAAGCAAAGCCGACTGAGTTAAATGTTGCCTCTGCCTTTGTGGGTTTTGATGACAAACCGCGGACCCCACTTTGGTGTCAAGAAAATGGTTCTATTCCTGAAGCCGCAGTTTGTGGCCTCGCTGGTCCGGGAGATGTTGGGAATAGGTCGTCGTGGACAAGTTAAGGCTTGTACGTGCAAGGTCAACTGCCCTTGGCTGTTTGTCCAGTTTGTTTTTGGACAGGTTTGCAAGTCTAGGAGCCTCGCCGGTTGTAGTAGATGGTTCAAGGTATTTGATCACCAGATGATACTGACGTTGACCTCTGTCTCTGAGGGGGCGCAGTTGTCACATGTCTTCAGCGCAGTTGGCAGAGATACAGCGCAGGATAGCGAACGTGTCAAGGCGCTTGCGAAGGATGCAAGAGCGGACACAGCGACGTGCCCGCGTCCTCCGACTTCAAACCCTGCTGGTGTACATCTATTCAGGACATCAGTCCGATGTGGCTGCCCGTTTCTGGGTTTCTCATACAGGAACCTCCTTGTCCTTGGGCGAGGCTGCCGCTCATGTCGAGTGGTTGTACATCAGTGCCAGTGTTGACGAGAAGGTGGAGATGATGCTCAATCCCCGGTGCAGTCTTGGCCTGCGTCCTCTCATGGTGGCCTTGCGGTTCATCGTGGAGCTGCAGCTTCTCTCTTGGGTCCAGTTCCAGAACTACGAGTGTGGAGTCGCTCCATCACGAAAGATGTTGCTTGATCATGCTCAGTCTTGTGTGCCCAAGGATCTGCCTCCATCCCTCACTGCCCGATTGCTCCGCCCTTTCAAAACTGCTCGCAGCCAGCGCAAGGCCTTGGCTGCTTTCAGAATGAAGCATCGGTGCAAACTTGGAAAATTGCGGTCGGAGGCTCCCATCCCACTAGCTGAGAAGCAGGACAAGGCAAGAGTCGGTCGGGCCGGAGACCGTGCGCGATGATTGGAGACTTCAAACAGCATGAAGTGTTGGGGTCGCTAAGCCCTTGCTGCGTTCTTGCCTCACTTCGCGGGTCTCATTTTGGGGTCAGGAAAACGGACGCCAAAAAGGTGTCCGCATTTTATGATCAGTGAGAGCGCGTAAGGACATTTTTATTTGTGGGGTGCATGGGCGGGCCAAAAAGGGACCCCAAAACGGGGGACGGAAAACGGACCTCAAAAGCGGGTACAGATTTGATGATTTTTTGGCTACTGCAGGCTCTGGCGTTCTACCAGTGGTGCAACTATTGGCAAGCGAACACAGAGCGCGAGCCCTTGCTCATCAACATGGATGAGTCAAGCCTTGCTTTTCATTGGAGCGGCTTAGCTGGAACAGTTGCGGAGGCAGCAGTGAGTGTGGCGACAGACAAGGCGAAGCTCAGCAGCCGAAGGGCGCGGGTGACGTACCTTTGTTGCATCACGCACGACAGCACAGTGCAACCGTTGCTCCCGCAAGTGTTGCTGGGCAATTCTCGGTCCTTCCCCTTAGAGTTTGTGAAGCAGGCTGCAGAAGTTGAACCGGGCATTACTGTTTGGCGGGAAAAATCCGCTTGGAACTCACACAGGTTGATGCGGAAGTTCCTCCGGTTGCTGTGTGCCCGTTTGGGCGACTTGTTGAAGACGCGCAGCGTGGGCTTATTGCTCGATTTCGCTCCGTGCCATGTGCATGATTCGATTTTTGAATTGGCCCGAAGCGCGGGGCTGCGCTTGTTGTTTGTCCCCCCTGGCATGACGCCACTCCTGCAGCCTTGTGACACCCACTGCTTTGCAGCCTTCAAAAATAACGCCCAAGAGAATTGGAGGGTGAAGAAGAGTGAAGCTGGTGGGCATCCAACTCTGTTGATGTGGTTCCAAGCTGTGGCAGCTGCAGTCCATGACCTTGTTCATAGAAGTTGGGCTCGGGCCTTTGAGAGTGATGGAATTCTGCAGCAACAGCGGAACATGTCAAGTCATTTGTTGAAGCAGCTACACTGGAGTACCGCCCCCCCAGGTCCCGCCAGTGTGGCCCAGCGAGGAGGTGGCAACTCTACTCTTTCCGCGCAACTGGTGTGGGAATCGTGCGAAATATATCAGTGGAAACCCTGACGTGTGGTACATTCGTACTTTGAATTAGTTTCACCTCGGACCGCCGAAAAGCTGCAATTGTGCACAGGGGAGGCCATCCAGGGTGGCTCAGAAAAAGTGGGGTGGAAGTGTACCCGGCTTTGGGGGACGTCAAATTGCCAGGAGATGCTACAGGCCGACTTGCAGAAATTGAAGGAGGACAGAAAGAACTTGCGCAAAGCCATCCGCAACAACCAGAAGGAAGCCCGCAAGCAAGCCAAGCGCAAGCAAAGGTTGGTCAAGGCCGTGCTGACCGTTGTGTTTGTGTTTTTGCCGCCGGTCCTAGCTGCAGGCCGCCAAGATGTTGTCGAAGGCAGACCTGGAGCTGTTGATTCGGGCCAAACAGGTGGGTTCCATCTTACCAATGAGTGTGGTCACTTCTTTGCAAGCCAGGACCAAGAGGCGACGACAGAGGAGAGAACTTTTGAGGTGAAAGTCTGCCAGCTTTTAACGCACGGTCTTTTTGTTTCTTTCCCTGCAGTCGGTGACGTCAGGAGGCTGCAGCCCCACGCGGGATGTCCGGTCAACCAGTCCAGCCCTTGTCCTGTCAAAGTGCGATTGTCTTTGGACACTTTTTGTGTTTGAGGTGGAGAGGCCTTCGGAGTGAGGGTGACGCAATGTGTCAGGATGAGCCGAGGCAGATCTTACAGCGCAGTGCAGGGCACACCCTGCAGCTGCTTCCGTCAGCCCGTAGTCTTGACAATCTGAAAACTTCGGACACAACGAGAGTGGAAACAGCGCTTCACTTGGCGTTTTCTTGAAAAATTTGCTCTAGAAACTTCCGATTCTAGACCGATGCAGCATGACAGAGAGCTAGCTAGAATGTCTGTGGACTTGAGGCGAATGCACTGGGGTTTAAGCAATTGTCACTAGCTACAGCCTGAGGTTCGATGCGTGGAGTGGTTGGCCTTGGAGCGGTCGTCAGCTCAGTATTGTTGACGGGCGCTAGGCGCGGTTGGTGCTTTTTTTGTGCCAAGCCGCAGCTTTTTCGACGGCAAGCAGGGTTATGTGACACGTGGGTTTATGTTGTTTGGACCGCAACCCGTTCGTCGTAACAGTCCAGGGCATCACTACATTGAACTTGTCCACTTTTGAATATGGTGTGCACGAGTTGCAACTGGACATAGCTTTGTAAGAAGTGGCTGGCCGGAAAAGTCGTAGCGCGTTGACAACATTGCATTTGCAAGGCCTTGTGCTACAAGATGGTTTGAGAGAAGCGGTTCGTATTGAGGTTCTACCGGAATAGCCCTTCCAATTGTTCCACAGGATTAGAGCGTTAAGCGTCTTGGTGGCCAAGTGCTTTTCGTGTCTATACTCTACCTTTACTCAGGCCTGGCTGGTGGTGATCATTTGGGTGTGGATCCTACTGAGTCTAATTCACCGTTTTTTCACTTTGCTCAAGCTTTGCAGATGGTCATGTGGATCCAGCACTCTACGCAAACTCTGCAGATTCCTTTCTCTTGGCTGACCTTGCAAACAGTGTGTTACAGACATGTGCAGTTTTTGCGAAGTGTGTTGTCGTCCTGTGACGTGGATGTAGCCGATTCGAAACAGTCATTGTACATCCATCAGTCCGACGCCGCTGCGTGAAATCTACAACTCGGAATCATCCGTACGTCGGAACCGGTCATTTAGAAGTAAGTGGCTTGGAACCCGTAGCTCGGAACCCGCAACTGGGCAACTTGGAATCCGCAGCCCCGAACCCTTCACTCAGAAACCGTAATTGGGAATCCGTACTTACTATTATCTCAGGTCTGGCAGGCTTAGGGTGGACAGTGGTCATTCCTCAGAGTGATTAGAACCTGATACCATTTTGGCTCAAGTGTACTTGGACTACGTCATGTGCTTCTCGGGGCAGCAACGCTTTGGACAAAGCGCGTGGTAGAATCCTCCAAAGGGAACGGGACTTGGAGCCCTTCTAGAGGCGCGACGTGCGGCCATGTGGAGGCGCACGACCTGCCTGTATAGTATTATAAACCCCAAAGTGTCGATGATTGGGCTGGCCCATTTTTACAATGTTTTTGTTGGGCGTTTCCTCTTGGCCAGTGTTGGGCTAGCCCATGTTTACCAGTGTTTTGGCTGGGCTT